ACTTGCTTAGTACTTGCCCTCGTCATGGTTTTGAAACATGGAGATTGGTTTCACATTTCTATGAAGGGTTAACACCTAAAGATAGGCAAATGGTTGAATTGATGTGCAATGGAACTTTTGAAGATAAAAACCCTGATGAAGCAATGAAGTATTTAGACTTGTTAGTTGAAAATGCTTAAAATTGGGATACTTCAGGCACTTATGAGGCACCGGGTAAAAATCAACCTTATACATCTAGTGGAGGTATATACAACCTTAGAGAAGATCATGACCTTCAAGCCAAGTTTGCATCTTTAGCTAGAAAAGTCGAGGTACTAGAATTAAAAAAGAGTGGTCAATTAAAATCTGTTCAAGACATTATGTGTCAAATATGTGAAACAAATGAACATTCAACTAATGATTGTCTAATTTTGCTTTTTTTTAAATAATATCTTCATGGACAAACCTATGCTTTAAACAGTTTTCAAAGGCCCAATCATAACCCATACTCATGAATATACAACCCTGGTTAAAGAAATCACCCAAATTCTAGTTGGAAGAGTGATAATAATAATGCATAAACTTCACAACCACCATTTTATGCAAACCATAATTTTTAAAATTTTCATAGATATGTACTTCCTTATGCTCCACCTCCTAGAAGAAATCTTGAAGAAACAATGCATGCATTCAATGAAAAGAAAGAGACAATTAATACTTAACTTGCTCAAAGCATAACAGATTTTAAAGATACTCTTGCAAAATTGACATCTGCTCTTAGTTTCCAAGAGAAAGGTAAGTTTCCATCTCAACCACAACAAAATCTCAAAGGGCAATACAATGCAAATGCAAGTAGTTCTAGAAGCCAACACATGGATCAAGTCAAATCAATCACTACTCTTCGTAGTGGTGAGGTTATCAAAAAACCCACTCTTAAACTTTGTGAGAAAAATGATAAGTCACTCTCTGAGGATAAGGAAGGGATTGAATCTGAATATTATAAAGAAAAGACTGATGTCCCACCAACATTTTCATTTCCTCATGCTATGACCAAACAAAGAAAAGTCAATCACAACTCTGAAATATTTGAAACTTTCAAACATGTAAGGATAAATATACCTTTGCTAGAAGCTATTAAATAGGTTCCTTCTTATGCTAAATTTTTGAAAAATCTGTGCACTGTGAAGAGAAAATTAAATGTGAAAAAGAAAGCCTTTTTAGCCGAACAAGTAAGTGTTATTCTTCAGAACAATAATGCTTTGAAATATAAAGACCCTGGTTGTCCTACAATTTCTTGCTTTATTGGAGAGCATAAAATTGAAAGAGCCTTACTTGATCTTGGTGCTAGTGTGAATTTACTTCCATATTCAGTTTTTCAGAGTCTCAATCTAGGTGAGTTAAAACAAACTTTTGTAACTCTCTTGCTTATTGATAGATATGTAAAAGTGCCTAGAGGAATAGTTGAAGATGTGTTAGTACAAGTCGATAAATTCATTTCTCTTGTGGATTTTATTGTCTTGGATACACAACCTGTTGAAGTGTGTAATTTATTTCCTGTTATTTTAGCACATTTGTTTCTTACAACTTCTAACACATTGATTAATTGTAAGAATGGACTAATGAAGCTATCATTTGGAAACATGACATTGGAGATGAAAATTTTCAACATTTGCAAGCAACCTGGACATGATAATAATTTGCAAAAAGTAGATCGTATTGAAAAATTAGTTTATGATCAACTTGAATCTACTTTAAGTAAAAATGAGTTGGATGAATCTGAAGATTTGCAAATGATTTATTCTTAGAAAGAAATGACGGATGAAAAACGCACCGAAAATATTAACGTAGATCTTTTGTTAAGAGTGACAAGAGATTCAACATTCGATATCACATTAATCGATGATTACTTTCCTAACAAATCCTTTCTCTTAGTTTAATGCCTTGGTTTGCTAAAAATATCAATTTTTCCACTTCAGGATTTTTGCCAGCTCACTAGAGTATCGAAGACAAAGGAAAGTTTTTGAGCAACATGTGGAATGACCCTAACTTATTCAAATATTGTCTTGATCAAATATTTCAAAGACAGTGAGGTAAGTAGTGTTACTAAATTTTGTCATTTTAAGGCATATGGGAGCATTTCTCATCAAGCAAGACAACAACACAAATCTTACAAAGTGGATTTTACTGGCCCACCATGTTTAAGGACTCACATGTGTTTTGCAAGATTTGTGAAAATTATCAAAAGTTGGGATCTATTCTAAAATTTCACATAATGCCTTTAAATCTTGTTCTTGTTATTGAGATCTTTGACTGTTAGAGTATAGATTTTATGGGTCCATTTCCTTCATCATCATTGTTGTTGTTGTTGTTGTTCTTGTACTATTATTATTTATAATTTATACAATTAACCTTTTTGTTGTTCGACCTCGGTTTCATTTATACAATTAACCTTTTTGTTGTTCGATCTCGATTTTGCTGGATTATTTATTACTTTAACACTTTTGCACTTGGAAGAAGATATCAATCTTTTGGTCTTGTCACTAAGCTCATATGGGTGTCTTAACACCTAATGCCTTAAGACCAACTAGTCTGGGAGTCATTAGCCGAAAGCTTATTGCATGGCTTAAAGATGCATTGTATTATAAGTTATATGTATATATATTAATAAAAAAAAAAGATAATAATCTTAACTCAAGGAAGTTAACTTTAAACATTAGAACAAAAAATTTATTTTCTTCCAAGTAAAGCGACAAAGTTATGTGTTGATATATTGAGTACAAAATGAAAGTTTATTAATATCTTGTTTAAAAGGTATTGAGATGATATATAAATTTAATAAGAGTTTGTTTATCTGGATAGATTAATGGAAATTGAAATGGTAAATATATTGCTTTGAGGAATTTGCAAATTGTTTTTCTATTTTAATGCTTTGATTATTAGGGATTAGTAATAAGCTGGTTGGGGGGGTGTGATTAGTACTTAAAAGTGCATTTTTATCAAGGTTTTATATGATCATTTTGCATTTGAAGTATCAATAACTCCTTAACTAAAATATTTTTATAATAATATATCTAATAATACAAGATAACTTTAATTTGTAGTAAATGTTCATCTTAAATGCAAGCCTATCACATAAATAAAAGGATTGATTGATGAATTTAAGTACTGGAATTAAAAGGACAAATAGATGGCCAAACTTAGAAAAGAGATACTAGTGTAGTCCAAACTTGAACACTATTTGGAAATTTGGTCATATCTGGAGCTATAGATCTCAAATTTAGGTTTATTTTATATGAATGGAAAGGTAAGATATAGGCCTATAACTTTTACAGGAGTACAAGATTTAGAAAGACTATTTTTAAGTCCAACTTATAGTAACAATAAAGAAGTTCAAATCTGTCTTGTAGCCTAGACATTGTTCAGTGTTTAGCCCATATCTTAAGTTCTAGAATTCCAAATAACCTCAATTATTTTTTTCCTAGAAAGATAAGACAATTTTTTAGAACTTTCATGTAGAGGTTTGATTCAAATTTTAATGTTATCAATTATGTTTTATTCAGATAAGAAGATAAGGATTGTCACCAAGTCAAGATGTGGCCACCTACTCATTAGTTAGTCATCAAATCAATAGTTCTTAATTTTGGCCTATAAAAAAAGGCATTTAGCATGTATTTAGGCATCTTGATTTCTAGATCAAGATCATGCTTTTGCTTTCTCTCTTTGCAATTTTGTAATGCTTAAGTTTTACTTTCATTAATATCTTGTTTGTGTCTTTCATTTCCTTTGATTTACTTAGTTCCTTTCCCTTACTTAGTTAACTTTTATCTTATTTATGTTCTTATCTTGTTTATTTATGTTTCTCTGTTTCATTATATTTAGTTAAGTTTATTATATGAAGGTGAAAAAGTTACACTAATAGTGTAAGAATAAGTATAGTGTAAACTCAACATGGACTTTAATGTTTGATACTAACATGTTTTGTATTTGATATCTTGTTCACTTTTAATACTTTGCTTGTTAAATGGTTAATCTATATTTTTGTATAACACTTGGTATAATAAATAATTGACACTTTTATAGCCTAATCATATAATATAATTTATACTTATGCTATGAAAGGAACTTGATTTGTTGTTAACATAAGTTATAATCATGAATGCTTGACGAGATTTACAAGTA